TATTCTAAGTATATGCAGCCAGTACTTTCGGTATATTGTTTTTGAGTGAAAACAATTTTTTAGTACAAATTTTAATTGCTGAGATCTATTTGTTTATCACTATATATTCTCAACTCTTCCAACACTTTTTGTCTTTTGAGTAGATGAAATATCAAAATATTGTTTATGATTAGACATAGTGTCTTCGAATTAATTTGGGGCTGAATGTGGCTCACTGATTCCAATGCCGGACTATTGGTGCATTATAAGGGTGGTGGTCCAATTATCCTATCTGGTCTGAAAAGGGTTGTCCAAGAATGAGGGGTGGATAGTGTTAACTAGCTGCCTTTCCTCAAGCCTATCTCTTCAAAATTAGGTATTACTAGTGCAGGTAGCCCTCAAGTAGCTTTGTGTGAAACTTAACACACAAATTTCAAATTATTTTGACAATTTAATGAGTATTCAGAAACTACAAAGAACTGTAGATAACGGTCTTTAAAACTGCCATTAGTGAACACCTGTGTAGGTTTTATAATGTAAAGTTAGCACTTTGTACACACATTAATTTAATAATCATGTCATTCTATACTTTTCTCAGATGTATGTTTTAATATTCATGTTTCAGTGCATCTGTGTTAGATCACTCGTGTGAACCTAATGCAGTGGTGACGTTCAATGGGACAACTCTTTATGTACGAGCTCTTCAGGACTTGGATGAACTAGACTACAAAAGAGTATGAATTTTGACTCAATTATTTTATCGAGCAAATACGTTTAAAATTAATTACTTAGAAAAGCTATGTTTTCTTCATATGATAAAACAGATTATTCATAACTTCAGGTAAAATTATGTGTGAAGTTATTTTGATAAATGTACATCTAGAGGCAAACTGTTCATGTAAGTACTTTCTGTATAGGATGAGCTTTAGTAAACATGTGTTATGCTTCTCAATTTCAATGAATGTATTAGATTAATAACAGTATATTCTGATTGTGGTTTTAATGAAATACGGTAAAATGATTGACTGCTATACATGTCCGAGAAAAAGGAAGCTGCCTGTCTGCACAAGGCGCGATGATATACGTGAATTCATCTACTTCTGTAACAGAAAAAGCAAGCCGCCGTAATTATATAATGCGAAGTTAAATTTCAGACTTCAGATTTTAAGAATATATATGTGACAATATGAACAAAAAAAACTTAATGGTTTTAAGAGCTTACTTTTGTCATAGACAATTACAAGTCATTGAATGTATAAAAATGGATGATTTAATTGACTGGTCAGGTTGCAGAAACACTTTTCTAATTATTCAACTGAAATGTGTCATTAACACCAAGTTAATTATGTACGGAGACTGTTACAAAGCTCTCAGTGGTTCCAAGAACCGTGCTAAAACTAGTGATGATGAACAAAACAAAAAGCAGCTGGTAAGATCTACGGATGAAAACATCCTGATGAATATGAATACGGTGATGTTATCCATTGTTTAAAATGTGATTTATCTTCATACTGATTAATTTCATAATTAATGGTCTCTATTTTTGATTTCATTTGTAAGTATGAGAAAAATGAAGAAAAACTTTAAGAAAACGTATGCTGTCAAAATTTAGTGAAGTTATTCAAAGTTTTATACAATCAACAATTGTATGGCAGTAGTAAGTAACTACAAAAAATGTTATCATTTTATGACATAATGACGTACAGTATGTTATTCTGGTAAAAATCTTGTAAGCCTAAATAAAGATGTACATATTTTTTACATGTGCTTTTTGTTTTAATTGTTAAAACATTTTTTTCTATAGGTTTTTATTAGCTATATAGACCAAATGGCTACAACCCAAGAGAGGCTAAAAACATTGAAGGAGCAGTACTATTTTGTTTGTCAGTGTCAGCGCTGCAATGATCCAAAACTGGTAAAGAACTTTGAATTAGGGATTTAAGAAAATGAGTTTTAAGCATTATAGTGTACTGATTAAATTAGTCCTCTATCTTTGCCCCCCAGTGGCACAGCGGTATGTCTGCGGACTTACAACGCTAGAAACCGGGTTTCGATACTTGTGGTGGGCAGAGCACAAATAGCCCATTGTGTAGCTTTGTGCTTAATTACCAACAAACAATCCTTTATCTTTACCATTTATAGTAATTTATTTAGAAGATAATGTGCATAATATAACAGATATAAGATCTGTCTTTAGTTGAATTAACAATCAGCTTGTATTAATTCTTTTATTTTTGCAACATTAAAAAATAACGTTTGTAGATGATTAACAAAATGGAAGCTTTTGTTAATGGTTGTTATATTCTGTAGTTTGTAAAATATCAATAAATCATTTGATAATTACCAAATAAAGTTTTCTAAGTTTAGCTTAAGGATTGAACAAAAAATAATCTAGCGTGATTTTTTGACATTTGTGTTTTTGTATAAAATTTATAGTTGTTTCCTGACATTAAATGTGTAGCAGTGACTTGAAATAAATTAAGTAGGCTTTAGTCTGTGAGAGTGATTAGGGATTAATGATTTTTAATAAACAAATCCCTGAAAAAACTGTCACTGTAGCAAGATTATGAAAAATATACAACTTGTAATTGAT